AAATCTTTCTATGGCCCCCTATTGTCTTTGATAAATATAATTAAAACTAATTGGGTGGCCAGATGGCTCAGTTGATTAGAGCATATGCTCTTAACATCAAGATTGCCGGTTCAATTCCCGCATGGGATGGTGGGCTGCGCCCCTTCCTCCCCCCATCTAGATTGAAAGTGGCAACTGGACTTGGAGCTGAACTGCACCCTCCACAACTAAGATTGAAAGACGACAACTTGACTTGAAGCTGATGGGTCCTGGAAAAACACAATGTTCCCTTCCCCAATTCCCCAACACTGTCCCCTTCCCCAATTCCCGAATAAAATCTTTTAAAAACAAAAAAAAAAACTAACCTGTGACCTTATTACCATTTATGGCACACCTTTATGGTGGGTATTGTTATCGATTTTATTAGAGATTGCCCAGTCACACAGTTCTCCATTGGATTCCAAAGGCTATTTTTTGCTACGTGTATAAAGTCCAAGCAGCCTCGCCCTCTAGCCATTAAGGATTTTTTTTTAAGATTTTTATTGGGGAATTGGGGAAGGGGAACAGCTAAGTTGCTGTCTTTCAATCTTAGTTGTGGGGGGCGCAGCTAGCTCAGCTCCAAGTCCAGTCACCATCCGGCCGCCCATCGGCAGCTCGTGGCCGCTCAGCTCAACGTGCCGTGCTCAATCTTAGTTGCAGATGGGCACAGCCCATCATCCCATGAGGGAGTCGAACCAGCAACCTTGTTGTTAGGAGCACATGCTCTCACCAGCTGAGTCATCCTGCCATCTGCTGGCAGTTCAGCGGCAGCTCAGCTCGGACGCAGCTCACTGGCCCATGTGGGAATTGAACCAGTGACCCTGTTGCTCAGAGCTTGCACTCAACCTACTGAGCCACTCGGCCGGCCCTAGCCATTAAGGATATTGACTGTGCAATTTAAAAACTCCAAAAAAAAGGGGCCGGCCGAGTGGTGCGATGGTTAAGAACTGGCTTGGGATGCCAGAGGGCCCTGGTTCAGATCCCACATATGAGGGCCAGTGACACTGCCCTCTACAGCTAAGATGCTGAACAACAGCTCAACCTGGAGCTGGGATGCCATAAGTCGCCGGCGACAGCGTAGGCTGCAGCCCCTGTGGCAGTGGGTTGCCATGGGCTACCGTGTGTAGCCAGCAGCCAGCGTGAGCGGCCAGCAGCCGCAGTGAGCGGCCTCCAGAAGCCGGTGACTGATCTGCCTCGCCCGGGAAGAGCGCAATGATGGTGCCAACTTGAGCCAGTGAAGCAACGTCCTCCACAACTAGACTGAAGAACAAAACGACAGCAACTTGTCTGAGCTCTTCCCCCAATTCCCCAGCACTGTTCCCATCCCCCCAATTCCCCAATAAAAATCTTAAAAAAAAACAAAAACTCCAAAAAAAGAAATCACCAGGTCCAAATGAAGAATTCCACCAAAGACTCAAAGAAGAATTAACACAACTTTTATATAACCTCTTCCAGAAAATTGAAGAAGAGGGAATACTTCCCAATTCATTTGATGAAGCTGGCATTAATTACTGTGATACTAAAACCAGATAAGGATGGTCCAAAGAAAGAAAACTACAGACCATATCCCTCATAAATGGACATGCAAAAATCCTTAACAAAATATTAGGAAATAAAATTTGGCAATATATAAAAAGCATTATACACCATGACCTAGTGAAGTTTATTCCAGGATGCAAGGCTGGTTCCTTATTCAAAAATCAGTGTCATCCACCGTATTTAACAGGCTGTAGTGGACAGAATAACGGTTCCCTGAAGATGTCCCGGTGCTAATCCCCAGAATCTGTGAACATGTCAGGTTAGCTGGACAAGGGAATTTAAGGTTACAGATGGAATTAAAGTTGCTGATCATCTGTTTTTAAAATAAGGAGATGATCCTCGATTATCCAGGTTGTCCCAATGTAATCACAAGGGTCCTTAAAAGTGGAAGAGAGTCAGAAAGAGGTGATGGTGGAAGAAGTTTGGACTTACATAATGTGAGGATTCTACCTGCATAGCTGGCTTTGTAGATGAAGAAACAAGACCATAAACCAAGGCATGTGGGAAACTTCTAGAAGCTGGAAAAGGCACTATTCATCCTTTGAGCCTCCAGCAAGAAACGAAGCTCTGTGAACACCCTGATTTTCGCTTTGGGAGATCCATGTAGCACTTCTAACCTACACAGCTGTAAGATAATACATTTGTGTTGTTTTAAGCCCCTAAATGTATGATAACTTGTTATAGCAGCCATAGAAAACAAATACATTCGCTAAAGAAGAAACGTCACACAGTCATATCAATAGATCCAGAAAAGGCACTTGACAAAATTCAGCACTCACTCATAAACACCCTCAGCAAACTACCTCAGAGGGAAACCACCTCAGCTTGGTGAAGAGTATCTACACACCTTCAGTTAACATCATACTTACAGGTTAAAGATGGAATGCTTTCCCCTTAAGATTGGGAACAAGGCAAAGATATCCACTCTCATCATTCTTATTCAATATAGTACTGGAAGTTCTAGCCAGAGCAATAAGGCAAGAAAAAGAAATAAAAGGTGGACAGATTGGAAAGGGAGGAATAAAACTAGCCCAATTTGCAGATGACATGATGGTCTACATAGAAAATCTCAAGAAACGTACAACTCCCCCAGCAATAATATTGGGTTGTCGGAAAAGTCATGACGCATTTTGCAACGAAAAACAAAAAATACGTCATGACTTTTCCGACAACCCAATAAATGAGCTAGTTCAGCAAGGTTGTAGGATACAAGATCAATATACAAAAATCTATTGCATGTCTGTATAATAGCAATGAATATGTGAAAATTGGAATTAAAAATACAACGCCGTTAATAGTTGCTCAAAAAAAAAAATGTTTCGATATAAACCTGACAAAACAGGTACAGGACTTGTATACTGAAAACTACACAACACTGATAAAAGAAATCAAAGATTTAAGTAAATGAAGAGACAGATCATGTCCATGGACTGGAAGACTTGACATAGTAAAGATGTTGCATCTCCCCTAACTGATATACAGGTTTAGTGCAATTACTATCAGAATCCCAGCAAGATTTGGGGGTAGATATAGGCAAGATTATTCTAATGTCCAGGCAGCTTGATGAGCATTTCAGGCCTTCATGTTATTTTCCTGTTGTGTCCTCTTTTGTCACACTCCCTAGCCATTCCGGCACCATACTCCTTCCTTTCTCAGTTCCAAGCCTTTGCTGAAGCACCTCCCTCCTGGTGAGCCGTCTGCCCAGTCTCTGCTCCACACTGAAAGCCTCCTGTGGCTCCCACCTCCATTCCATGACTCCAGCGCAGCTTCCTGAATCTTGGGGAGACCAGAGAGGCCAGGATTTCCCTAGGGAACCCTGGACCTGCCCAACCCAGCCCCCGCCCAGCACTGGCAGGGGAGGGACCTCGGGAGCAGAGAGAAGACAGGAAATTCCCCTGGAACCTGTTTCTCTGCTTCCTCGCCCAGACTGAGGTGCCCACTGGAGGGAAAGGCTGGCCAAAGACCCGGGCAGTCATGGCCTCTACCCTGAGCCCACCCCGCATCCCCAAGCCCAAGTGTTCCCTGCCCTCACACTACTATGAGAACTTTCTGGAGAAGAAAGGACCCTATGACCAGGTAATGGGGGGCAGCGGGGCAGGGAGCCGGGCACTGCTGAGCAGCCAGCCGAGCAGGTGAGGCACCTCTCTGAACCTGCGTCTCCCCTGGCCAAGTACTGCGAGATGGGTGCTGGATGGGGCAGGGCATGGGCTGGGGGCTGGGAAGGGTTCTGCCCATCTGTCTGCCTCTGTTTCTCTCTCTCTGTGTCTCTGACTTATTTGATCTCTTTCTCTTTGTCTCTCCCTGTCTGTCTCCATATGCCTCTCTCGTCTCAGTCTTTCTGTCTCAGTCTCTCCTGTCTGTAGAACACAAACAGGATCAGGGACTTCCTCCAGGAAGTGGGGAATTAAATTGATTAGTTCCTCTTCCCCCAGCCCTGAAGTAACTTTGTGAACCTCAGCTGCAGGGGACAAAATCAGGACAGTTGCATGTGGGGACAGTAAGAGCTGTTGGGGGCCACATTTGGCAGGACCAGATACTGGCCACAGGAGCAATGCGTGTGTGTGCAAGTGCGTGAGCGTGTGCGCGTGTGTGTGCGTGTGCGTGTCTTATTCAGAATAAAGCCCAGCCCCTGGTTTCCCACTAAGGCCCTGTCTCTCCATCCCCCTGCCCCCACCACTCCCCATATTCATTCATCTTCTACTGTAATCCAAACCAACCACCTACTGCTTTCCCTGCCCACCTCCCTGCCTTTGTCATTGCAGTTCCCTTCTCCTTTCCTTGTGTCTCTATGCACCTAAATCCCCCCATCCCAGCCTAGAAAGCATCTAGAGGCAGCAGATCACAGTTATTAAGAAAGACCGTGGGCCCCAGAGTGTGAGACCCAGGTTCACATCCCCACTCCATGCCTTCCTGACTCCCAAGCCTTATACAAATGACTCTCCATCTTTGTGCCTCAGTTTTCTCTACTATAAAACGGGTAGAATAGGGCCATAGTCATGGTTACAGCAGAGGGGTAGCCCTCAGCAGACCTGATTCAGGGCAAGCACTGGTGCCTTACATGTATTAATCCGCCCAGTTCTCACAACAGTCTCTGAGGTGGGTACCATTAGTATTGCCATTTTATAGGTGGGGAAACTGAGGCACAGACCTTAAATAACTTGTCCAATGGCACATAGCCAGTGCATGACAAAGTAGTTCTGACCATACTGAGTTTAATCACTTATTGCTCTATTCAGAGTGCCTGGAACAGTGCTGGACACATAGTAGGTACTCAGTAAGTGTTAGTTAAATGTATGGATGTAGCTATCTATGGATGGGCAGATGGGTGGGTGGATAGATGGACGAACAGATGGATGGATGTGTGTGTGTGTGGGTAGATACGTGGAGGGATGGATGGATGGATAAGTGGGTAAGTAGATGGGTGGGTGGATATGTGGGTGGGTAGATAAGTGGATGGATGAATGGATTGATTGATGAATGGATGGTAGCTCTCAATATAAGCACTCTGCATTATCATTACAGACTAATTAAAGTGCCTCCTCCTTCAGGAAGTCTTCCCAGATTTTCTAGTTGGAGGGCTGCTCTCCTCCTCTGTGATCTCATGGCCCAGGGTCTGTCCCTTCTCAGAGATCCTGGTTTCTCTTTTCTAGAGGATTTTAGTATCTGTGCTTTCTCTATTCTCTGGCACATGATCTATTTAGAAACAGAAGTCACGTCCCCCTTGTTTTTTCTGCCTGCAAGAGAACTGGTTGCAGAGTAGGTGCTCAGGGAACATTTGGTGAAAAATCCCCCAGAATCTTACAGTCTGAGCTGTATCAGCCTCTTGGACCTCCAGAGAGTTAGGACATTTAGAATTCAGAATCCTGGAGGAAATCCTGAATCTGAAAATCTCCTAAAGTCCAGAACCTTGTGGAATTTTGAGACTATATAGACTCAGCACCTATCCCTGGGCCTGGCACCTAGGATATGCCAGTAAATATTTATGATGTGGATAACGGGACGGGGGATGTATGTATGTGTGTATGGGTGGGTAAATGGATGGGTGGATGGCTCAGTAGATGGATGGGTGGTTGAATGGATGGGTGGAACATCATAAATCCAGTTAGCTCAACTCACTCCTATAGCTTCCCCCTCCATAAATTGGGGGACTGCTCTGGGTCCCCTGTCCCATCAAGGCTCCCTTTGGTCCTTTCTCGGAGAATAACAGATCCCCAGAGGCTGGGCCATGCGTGGAGAGGTCCTCCCTGAGAAGGCAATATTTGTTGAAAAACCCAAAGCAGGTAATAAAGGAAACTATATGAAGATCTGGGGAGAGCATCCAGGCAGAAAGAACAGCCAATGCAAAGGTCCTGAGACAGGAGTGGGTAGGTTGGAGGTATCCCGTTTGCCACCTCACATCCTTCTCTTTCTCCACCTCTGGTCCCCAGGATTATAAGAAGTTCTGGACTGGCCTCCAGGGCCTCACTCTCTATTTCTACAATAGCAATCGGGACTCCCAGGTAAGGATGGGAATGAGGGCTCAAGAGTTGGCCCATACTTGACCCCAGGGACCAAGCAGAAGGTGTAGATGGTGTGGCCAGGCCAGGGGACCTGAGGGACCACAGGCCTGGTGCTCAGACTTCCACTTCTGTGCTCCCAGTACATGGAGAAGCTAGACCTTGGAACATTTGTGAAACTCACAGATGAAGCTCCCTGGGGGACATCCCATGAACCTGGCACCCGTTTCAACTTGGTCCTCCGGAACCAGGAGATCAAGTTCAAGGTAGGTCCTTTGGGGTGGGGGAGCTGGTGGGAGACCCTCCTTCCCCATCACACCCATCATTAACACACACTGGCATGGAGTCACATAGAGTTTATCACTGGGTTGGTGACACTGGGCAAGTCACTTGACCTCTCTGGGCCTCAGTTTCCTCAACTGCAAAATGGGATAATATGTGTAAAGTGCCAAGAACAAGATCTGATCCACAGAGACCATCACTGCCATCATTCAATCTTTCAACAAACATTAGTGAGCACCTACTGTGTGCCAGACCCTCTTCTAGTTGCACACCACTGAAGAGACAATTAAAAATCCCTGCCCTTGTGGAGTTTACAGTAGTGGTGAAAACACACAATCAACAATATAAATGTGTAAAATATATGGAGTGTCACATGGCAGTAGATGCTAGGGAGACAACTGCTAAGGGAGAAGGAATGCAATGTTAAAAGGTATGATCAGGGAAGACCTTACTGAGGACCTGACGGAAGGAAGGGAGCCAGCAGTGTAGATGTCTGTGAAATAGCTCTTCAGCAGTGGGACTAGCACATGCAAAGGTCCTGAGACAGGTGTGCCTGGTGTATTGGAGCAACAGTAAGAAGGCTCATGTGGCTGGATCAGAGTGAGTTAGGGAGAGGGAGGAGGTGAGGGCAGGGAGGGGATGGGGGCAGGTTGTGTAGGGCCTTGTGGCCCATGGAGAGGAGTTGGGCTTCTCCCTTGAGAAAGGTGGGAACCCTGGGAGGGTTTAGAACATAGGAGATACATAAAATGACTTATGTTCTTCTAAATGTTGGTGTAATAACATTAAAGAATAACATGCCACATTACTAAGGACTTATATTCAGACATCATCCTAAATTAACCTGTCCTAACTCATTTAATTGTCCAAATAGCCCTTGGAAACAGGGACTGTTATTCCTCACTCCCATTTCATAGATGAATAGAATGAAGCTCATCAATGTGGACTTTTTCTTTCCCTCCCTAGGTAGACAGCCTGGAGTCTCGGGAGATGTGGAAGGGCTTCATCCTGACGGTGGTGGAGGTCAGAGTGGTTGCCCTCTGTCCCTCTCTCTCTCATTCACCTCTAAACCTTCTCAGAAATCCTCTTTTTTTCTTTCCATCCTTCATTACCCAAACAAGCCTCTCTAGAGTATAGCAGTATGGTCTCAAAATGAGACCTATGTAGCCCATAAACATCTTTTGTTTTGCCAACAAAGTGGTAAAACTTTTTAAATTAGCTGCCATCACTTAAAATCCAGTGTTAAGGGCCGGCCCAGTGGCTCAGTTGGTTAACAGCTCACTCAAGAGTGCGAACTCTGAGCAACAGCAGTTTGAGTCCCAGCTCGAGCTGAGCTGCTGCTGAGCTGCCAAGAGGTGGCAGGATGGCTCAGCTAAAAAAAAAAATAGGAAAAAACCCACAAAAACCAGTTTTAGTCAACATTCCTGATATCTATTTTACTTATTTGTTCCCTACCAGGCCCCTGCAGCCTGTAGAGTTTTAAAACTCTACATTCTAACATCTGTTCTGTCCTCCTCCCCATCAGCGAAGTCTCTCTCTGAAGCCTCTGAAAGTGTAGGGAGGCTCCCAGACCCAGGTTCTCATCCTGGCCCCTGTCTGCATTCTGGCCTCAGTTTGCCCGTGTGTGACATGGGCACAGATGCCTGTTCCCTGACGCGCCCCCGGTCGTCCCTCAGCTCCGTGTTCCATTCAACTTGATCCTGCTACCTGGACACCTGTACATGATGGCTGAGGCCCTGGCCAAAGAGGAGGTGCGCCGCTCCCTCGTAATTCCCTCGTGAGTGTCCCTCCTGGCCTGAGGGGCTCCAGGAAGGGGGGTGTGGGGCTGAGGTTGGGCTATGAGTAGGATCTCTGGCCATTGGGTCTTAAATTGAGTACAGGGCTGCATCTGGGATTACGACCCATGCTGGGAGCTGGACTTGGAGTTTGGGAGCAGGTCTAGGTGCCTGAGGGTGGGTCTGGGCCTCCAGGGGAGGGTCTATGTGCCTGGAGTACTGGACTGAGCCTCCAGAGAAAGAACCTGGTTCTGGGGGGCAGAGCAGGGTCTCAGGTAGGGCGACCTGGGCTTAGGGAAAGAGGTTGGGTCTCCAGGGGCAGATCTAGGTGCCTAGAAGGCGTGGCCCAGGGCGGGGTTTATAAGCAGTAGGGTGTAACTGGGTGTTCAGGGGCGGGGTTATGGGTGAGGCGTGGCTGAGTGTCCAGGGGCGGGGTTACGTACGGGAGGGCGTTCTGGGTTTCTGGGGAAGGGGAACGGAGCCTGTCCTGTGTGAGTGATGCGGCCCGCCCTAGGTGCTTCCTGAAGGTGAGCCGGCTGGAGGCGCAACTGCTCCTGGAACGCTACCCAGAATGCGGGAACTTGCTGCTGCGGCCCAGCGGGGACGGCGCGGGCGGTGTGTCGGTCACCACGCGCCAGACGCTCAACGGGTGCGCATGCGCAGCTCCGGAGCCGGGAGATCGAAATAGGGTTGTATTTGGGGGAATGGTCAGATGTAGAGGCGGAATCAGATCCTAGAGCGAGTCAGCCTCGGGACAGAGTCGAAGCCAGAACAAGGGAGAACTCGGCGGTGGGCCAGGGGCATGGGATCCTGAGGTTGGCCCCGCCCCGGAGTAGGGTCATTGGTGGGGGTCACATCGATAGTGCTCTCAGAAGCCAGGGGCGGAGCCAGGAAGGACGGGGGGCCTTCCCTGGGGGTGGAGTACAACGCGGCATGGTCCCCTGGGAGCAGCGCCAGGGCAAGGGGCAGGGTCTTTCCTGTGTGCAGGGAAGAGTGAAGGGAGGTTCGGCCCTCAGTGGAGGCGGAGACAGGACAAGGGGTTGGAGTATTTATTCCTTGGCCTGAGCCAGGCCCCCCACTTGCCCACTGCCTGTGCAGAACGCCGGTGATTCGGCACTACAAGGTGAAGCGCGAGGGTCCTACGTACGTGATCGACGTGGAGGAGCCGGTGAGCGATGGGCCAGGGTCTCAGGAACACACTGGCGGGATCTGCGCGCCCCTTCCCCAGCGGCTCTAACCGGTCCCCCATCCATCCCCAGTTCTCCTGCGCCTCACTCGACGCAGTGGTCAACTATTTCGTGTCGCACACCAAGAAGGCTCTGGTGCCCTTCCTACTGGACGAGGACTATGAGAAGGTGCTAGGTGGGTGAGGCTTCAAGGGACCCACAGGGCCCAGCCTGTGCCTCTCTCACCTTCGCCCCGTCGGGGACACCCTTGGGTCAGCGCCTGGCCGCCGCGCCTCCTCCAGGCATTCCTCTCTGTTCTAGGCTACGTGGAAGCGGATAAAGAGAACGGAGAGAATTTGTGGGCGATACCCTCGGTCCCTGCTGTCCCCAGCCCAGGTGACGCCCCCTTCCCACTGCCGCCGCTGGGACCCAGGAGGGAAAGACTAGGACCCACATGGTGCCTCCTGTGCCCAATCTTGTACCCATAGTTGCAGGGACCCAGAAATTTCCCAGACCCTGCCCTTTGGGAACTTCCAGGTTGTGGAGGGTGCAGACACAACTGGACACAGACACTCCCAGGCCTCTTTAATGGAACCTGGGTTTGGGGCAGGGCCTAGAGTTGGGGAGAAAAGGGGGCAGAGTAGGGGGAAGATATACCGAGGAGGGGTGTTTCCTGAAAGCCTCCAAGTATTTCAGTAGGTAGTGACGGGCAATGAGGGGCACACAGGGTATGCCTGGAATATGAACTACCCAGATATAGGAAATTGGGGTGGGTGTTCGGAAAGGGATGGAAGGCAGCCCAGCTTCTGGAGCGGAAGAGGCTGGAAGCAGTATGATCCGTCCTGGGCTGGGCAGATGCTGGGGGCCCCATGTTCACAACAGACATGTATGTACACATACACACACGCCACAATCACCAACATGGACTGTGTCCCCCTGCATAATCAGAAGCCCATATGTAAACAAGACACCCATGTACACAATGGCTCCACACATGCATGACTACGTGTCATGATTCCAGTCCCATCTAGCACACATATACATACCTCAAGCCACAATCACGTGTGCACACACAAATGCACATATATCCACTCACAGCACAAATTCCGACATTTATAGACACATGCATGTACACACCAATAGTCAAGTACCCAAGCACAGATCTTAGCATCCATGCATATACACATATTTACATATAATCAATTTATGTAAATTCATCCAGTGTACATATTTATGCTACACAGGGACACAAACACAGACTTAAAAATGGGCACATGCACAGACACACGCACAGGGCATGTACACATACACTCCCACTCATGGGCACACAGACCCACCTTGAGTTGTTCCTGAACCATGTGGGTCCCAAAAGTGACCATAGTTTCCCACCAGGTCCCATACATGCTGGTGGCCCCAGGCAGCCATCTCCCACATCCATCATACCTGTGTCCAGCCAGGACAAGCTGCCCCCGCTACCAAACCCGGATGAGAACTACGTGACTCCCATTGGAGATGCCCCAGATGCTGACTACGTGAATGGGGACGGTGGGTGGGGACTGGGGGTGGCTGAGAAAAGGGGCAGGGGGAGCAGGCTCACAGCTGGATTGACACGCCATACGTTTGTTCATGAAGTGCCTTCCACCGGTCGGCTGATAGTCCTGAAGCCCAAGAAGTGTCCCGCAGCCCCAAAGGTTCAGGCAAAGCCTCCAAAGCCACCCACTGCGCCCAAGCCAGGTAGGGGAGCCTCCTCCCCAACCCCCCAACCCTTCCCTCATCCAGTGGAGGGCCAGTCTCAGCTTTCATCTGTCTTCTCCAGAGCCCAGAGGCCTTCCTGGTGGCCTGGCCAAGAAGCTGGCTGTCAGCTCAGCACAGGCTTTCTTCCCCACAACAGGTAAGGGACCTGGGAGGAGGGGAGTCGATGCAAGAGGGGCTTCATGGGCATGTGACATGTGCAGTCACACAGGACCGCACACTCCAAAGGGCCTGCACTTGATTTAATGTTCTGCTGTCTCCATCTCAAAATTCCTCATGCACTGGGCCCCACACATTCTGCAGCCTGTCCTGGGTGGATGTGGGGTGGGTGCAGCATGGACTGGGGATCCCTGGTGCAGCTGAAGCCTCGGGTACCCCCCCTGCCCTCCAGGGTTGGCCGATGTCACAGCAGAGCTGGAAGAGAAACTACAGAAGCGGCGGGCACTGGAACATTCAGCTGGGCTCGCTGAAGATCAGCGGGCCAATCTCAGAGCATGGCACATCAGTCAGGCGAATCCCTCCTCCCAGAATTAAAACTCAAGTGACCCCAGAGCTTATGTGTGTGACTTGGTTTTGGGGGCCCATGAAGGATCCATCAGATGTCTGCCCACAGCTAGCCCCATTTGCTCCCAAAGATCCTTACTCAGCTCAGAAAAAACTGCCACCTGACTTTGCCAGAAAAGCCCATTTGAAAGCTGGGGAAACAGGTCCAGAGAGGGCCAGGGCATAGCCAGTGCCACCCTGCCCCAAAGAACCAGTAGCACGGTCTGGCCAGTGTTTGACCTTTATTAGGAAGTGAGGTGGGGAGGAGGGCCTGCCCCGGTGCCCGCTCCCTGTTGGTGACCCTGTTAGGAGTTAAGGCTCCAAGCAGCAAGTTAGAGGGTGCCCAGTTGAAATAGCTGAGGCCTGGTAGTGGCCCCCAAAATCAGCCCAGCTGGATGGACGGTCCACTGGCCTAAGTGAGGCTGGTGTTGGAGCTGCTGGTGGCACTGCCTCGCTTCTGCAGGCATCGCACGGAGCTGGGGACCTGCAGTCCTGTCGTCACCTGGAAGCTGCCACACCATACCTGGGGACAGGGAGGGGAAAGGAGAGGCTTGGCAGCGAAGCCAGCACCCAGGGCCACCCTCTCCTATCCCGGGTCATGGAAGGGGCCTCACTGTGAAAGCAGGCAGCAGTGGCTGTGTGAACTTGGCCTTGAAGGTATGCAGCAGCTGTTTTGTGCGGGCGTTGTAGAAGGACAGGAGGCCTGGGTGGAGGGCAGAGCGACAGGGGACCAGTAAGAGGGTTTGTGGCAGAGAGACAGAGACAGGTGGCTGGAGATGCCAGCTGGGGCCCAGAGTCACCTTGGTGGAAGTCGCAGTGCACGCCCAGGCAGTCAGGCACGGGAGCATCCAGCACCTTGGCCTTGTTGGCGTGCTTGGCGGTGAAGCTGACCTGCAGCCAGTTGTTGATGTGCAGGCACCAGGACGCAGCTGTCTTGCCCAGCTGCTCGAAGCGGCCCAGGCTGCGGTAAGCCACCCCCACGCCGAATGCCTTGCTGTCTGGCTCATAGCGCACCTCCCAGTAATGCTCCCCGCCATCGATCAGTGTGTCCCCTGTGGGGGTGGGGGGGGGCAGTGGGGACTGGGTAGAATAGGGTCCCAAGTGCTCTTCTACAAAGGGTCAGCCACTCAGATACTCCCCAGATCACAGCTACTTGGTCCCCAGCTATTCCTTCCAGGTATCCCCAGCCTTCAACTCCCTCTACACACTAAGTCCAGATATTCTCCAAGCTTCCATTAGTCCTTTCAGGCTCCCTGTAAGTCCAAGCTACTCCTTCCAGGCCTTAGAAAATTCCTCCAGTTCCTCCTCATGTTTAGCTACTCCTCAGTCCTCACTTCTTCCCAGAGACTAGATATACCCAAACCCTTGTTCCTGGCGAACTCTAAGTATCCCCACAGGCCTCAAGTCCTGGAATCCAGATACTCCCTGGGACTCCAGACTCCTTCCTATTGCTTTCTGAATCTAGATTCTTCCCAGACCTCTAGCTCCTGGTGGAGAACAGTTTCTTCCAGGCCTTAGCCCTTCCTGGGGTTCAGATGCCCCCCAGATCTCCGCTGATTCCTAACTCTACATCCTTTACAGACCCCTAGATCTAGATTCCCAACCATAACTAGTCCAGGCTCCTCCCAGGAGCTAGATAGCTCACTCTCAAATCTCAGCTACTCTACAAACCCCCCACATCTTCCCCTGCTTCCTCCCCAAACCCCAACTCTGTCAGTCCCAGATGCTTTCCAGAAAATCTGAATCCTCCCTAGAATCTTCACTTCTCCTCAGGGCTTAGCTTATCCCCAGAACCCAGCTACTTGCTACCTTCCTCCAACCACACCACCCCCTGCCTGATATTACTGAACTTACTGACCTCTTAATACCTCAGCCTCATTTTCAAGCCCTTTTCTGGACAATGGCAATTTCCCTAAATACTGGTTTTTTCATGGACTCCAGCTTCTCTTTCACAGGATCTAATCACTCCTGTGGTGCTAACCACTTCTCCAATCCTAGCCATTCCCTCAACTTCTCTGACACCAGCTACTCTATCTGGCTCATCCACATACCCTTAGCCTTGCTTCAGTTCCTCCACAAACACAGCTGCTCCCTAGGCAAGTATTCTTTCCAGCTACTTCCTATATCTCAGCTATTTCCCAAGTCCCAGCTATTTGACAGACCCCAGGGAACCCCCCTCAAGCTCATGACCAGCCACTCCCCAATCCAGAGCCTCTTTCCTCAGCTCCATAAGCTCTGGCTCCCCCCAATAACCCCTTCTGCCCAAACCTTTCCATCCCCCCAGCACAATAACAATATATGTTATTGGGACCAATTCCAGAGAAGTTTTGTTGATGGCTGCCTCAGTTTCCCCAGCCAAAGGAGTTTTTTTCCTACTCCCCCCACCACCACCACCATCAGGGCCCTGACCAGAGTTCCCTTCTCTCCTCCCATCTTCCCTCCTCCTTACCCAGAACCGTGTAAGACTCAGCTGTGAAACGATCCCGTCCCCCACGACCCGAGGGCATCCTCTTGGGAGATGGTGTACCTCTGTGGGTGGCAGGGAGGGGAGAAGGCTCAGTGCAGTCCTCACCTCCCCCATAGGGCTTCCCTGGTCCACCCCAGCCTCTGTGGACTTTTCCTCAATCCTTGACAGTATTTGTTTCTTTTCATACACTGGGCCCCTCACATCAGAACATGCCTGTTCCCTTCCTCATCTGGAAAACTCCTATTCAAACTTCAATACCCAGTTCAAAGTCTCCTCTCCCTTGATTCACTATTTTGGCTCCCCAGCTCCATGTCCCTCCCTCCACCCCAGCCTTGACCACACTGAGTTGTGTTTCCATGTCCATCTTGACCTCCTCTACCAGAGACTCAGGGAGGGGAGGGGGCAGGCTACCTGGCTGGGGAGTTGACAGGAGACGCTGTCCGCCCCTTGCCATCTTTCTCGCGAGCCTTGATATCCTGCACCTTCCCGCCCATGGCGTCCCACTCCACGGAGAGATCATCCACCCGCAGGTTCTGGTGGGATGTGGACGCATCCAGGCGGTACATGAACGCTGGGGCCGGGCAGATGTGGGAGTCACAGAGATGGGGAAACCCGGAGAGACACAGAAACAGAGAGAGACAGACAGTGACCAAGAAAGACCATGACAGGGACAGAGAACAAAGAGACAAAAAATCAGACTGAAACAGATAGAGAGAAAGAGACCAACAGACAAAGGCTCAGAGACAGAAAAATATAGAGACGACAGGCAGAAAGACATCAAAAGGGACAAGAGGGGGAAGAATGGAGGGGGCAAACCATGCAGCTAGAGGAGTGAAGGCCAAGGCTTCCTAAAGATTTCCCAGGTCTGGGGCCATTTTCAAACCACTTTTGCTGCCCTGTGTTTCACTTGGGGATTAATTTCAGGAAAGGGGCTGGGCTACAGCATGACATATTTAAGCTAGAGTGCTGAAGGACTTCCTATCAGGGCATGCAAAGGTATACTGTGGGAGGCTAAGAAATCGGATTTCACTACTAATATACCCTCCCCAACTCTATAGAGCACTTATATATTTTTGGGAGAGAGAGAAAGTGTGTGTGTGTGTGTGTGTGTGTGTGTGTGTGTGTGTGTGTCAAAAACCATCCAGGTATGATGAGATCAACTGCAAAAACATAGGATAAAAACAGGTTTATACCAGACATGCAGGCTGAGGAATTCTACTGTGGACTGAGCTCTGAGCTTCCTGGAAGCCAGGGCAAAAGACCACAGAACAATGATTAGAAGAGTCTCATTTCACACTAGTCCCTGGGGCCCCAGGAATGAAGGGTTATAGAGTCACAGCCAGGATAGGAGTAGGAGCCAGTCACCTGGTGTCTCCAGAGTCACTGGCTCAGAGAATTCGCCTGCAACTGCCTTATTACAGGCCTTCACACGGAAATTCATGTATTTCATGTCAAACTTGAGACCTAGGAGGCAACAGAGGATCTCAACATTGTGTACACTTTGAGCAATAGGTTAGAGGCCCCCGTGTCCCACAGTAATCCCACTGCCCCTCCTTCCAAGGAGCACCTTGTAAATGACATCTTATCCCTGAGAAACCATCCTTGCCCACATTCACCTGTGGGGCTATGGATTACTTGGCTCCACCCCCAACCTAGACTGGGCAATCAGGATGCTTTATGATCTAATCATAGAGATTAGTTCAGGGGTAGGCACATGACCCGAACTGGCCAATCAGAATCTGCCCTGGGATTTTGGCTGGTATTATAGGGAGCAGAGTTGCTGTTATCTCTGGGCTGGCCAGCTAGGAGGAAGTCCCTCCTGGGAAAATTTGCCAGCTCATTTGGCTAGCCTCCTTGAGAATGCAGTCCCCAGAGTCAGTAAGTGCAGGAAACAGAGGTGACTGAGTCACTTGCTGGAACCCCTGGATCAAGCCACGCCTGGTTACTTATTAAAGATTTTCCCTACTACAAGGATATATCTCACCCTCCCTTTCTGGCCTTTTCTTATTAGTTTATTCCAATCTTAAAAATAAAAAGCAGCTATCAAGCTGTCTTCCCCCTCAAGTTAAACCTCTTTGGAGAGATTAGGAACACTCCCCTTTCTGCTGCCTCACTCCCTCTCCCTCCTCTGGACTTGTCAGTTCCGTTTTACAAGACTTCCTGGCTGACTACTCCTTCCCTTCTGGAACATTCTCTTTCCTTGGCAGCCATGACACTGCCCTCTACTGGCTGCCCACTCTGGTTATCCCCTCTCGCGGGCTCCTCCCTCCCTGACACCCTTAAATGTCAGAATGGCTCAGTCTAGGATCCTTGGTCATCCTATTTTGCTCACTGTCCCTTTCTCACCCTCAGGCACCATCCATCCACCCATGGCACCCACAGCCCAACCTCTAGCCCTGACTGCATGTCCAGTCACCTCCTGAGTGTTCCCCACAGGATGCTCATTCTCCGGACACCCCAAACAGCACTTAGTACCCCCTACTCTAATCCCTCCCATAGGTCCTTTGCCCTCAGAACAAAGTCCCCATACGTCCTTTAACCT